ATGTGGTGGAGTTAGATGGAGGCATGTTTTGTAAGGAAAAACTTTCTGAAATATGCAGCTGCCAGAAATGGAATGGGTTTCCTGGGACAGCTAGTGAGCAGCATGCAAACTCAGACCTGGTAAATCCCTAACTGGGATGTTTAGGAAAGAGTGTTGAGGCCTCCATCTCTTAGACTCTGTGATTCTGGGAGTAAGCATGCAGGGACTACCTGGCTACCTGGGGAAAGAAACCCCAAACATCACCATGCTGCATGGTGTGCCCAGAGCTAACTTCTCCATCCAGTGCTGAGGTAAGTCCGAAGGTACGGAGTGTCCTGGGTCCCAAGTTATCAGGAAAGGCTTCTTAGAGGACTAATGGATGGGATTTGAATGGATGGAAGGAAAAGGAGACACTGAGGAGGGGATGGAGTGAGCCAGGCTCAGAGGCAGGCCTTGAGGAGAACTTCCGGGAAGAGAAAAGCAAGAAAACTTAAGGATAAAATGGGTCCCAGATGAGTTGGGTCCATTTCTGAGATTTCTTCTCAGAAAGGCTTACCCTAGAGGTATTTGAGAGGGAGAAATCACACACACACACACACACACACACACACACACACACTTCAATTTGATCTAGCCGAAATCAGGTTACAGTGCATGGCCAGCTCAGACAGAAGTCCCTAAGGGAAGCCTGAGGAGGGACAGTGCAGGACAGAGACTTGGGAGCTTGTGGGGTTTCCCAGCAGACTGTAGTCACAGGACACTTCAGCCTCAGCCCAGGAGTCTTTTGCTCCCAGCCCCAGCCCTCATTCTCCTCAGTCCCTCCCGGGGGGGGGGGGGCCTAGGGCCCTGCGCCAAGGTGATACCTATTCTGAGGTTTGATCTCAGAAGCCTGAGTCCTCTAAGGATGGGACCTTCTCTCCCTCCACTGCCCTGGCCCTGGCCACCCACCCATCCTCCAGGAACTCTATAGCAGTTGCCCATATGCCCCCTTCTGCTCTTGCCCTCTCCATCTTCTTCATGGCCAGTCTGTGTTTATAACAAGGCATGCCTCTCCCCTGATGAAAAATGTCAACTCCTGCCCCTTTGTCAGGTTCTAGAGGAACTCTAACTCCTCCCTGGACTCAGTGAGGCCACCCACAGGCTTCCTCTGCCCACTTCCCTCCCCTCCCTCACCGGGCTTTGGTCACACTGACCTCCTTCCTGTTACTCTTGGAAACCAACCCTTTCCGTGTCCCCTTTGCCTGCAACATCTTTGCCTCGACCTGCATAGGCCAGTTCCTTTCCTCATTCCCTCTCTGCAGCCTTCCTGGACTCCTGGCCCTCCTGCCAGTTAGTCCCTGTCACAGTAGTTCCTGGGATGTGGTATGGACCAGCAGCATCAACATCACCAGTAAAGATGTTAAAGAAAAAGTGAATTCTTGGGATTCACCACAGATCTAGAACCAGAGACTCAGGAGTAAGGCCAAGTGATTTGTCTTGTTTTTTTTTTTTTTTTTTTTTTGTGCTGGGCATTGAACCCAGGGCATCAAGCATGCTAGGTAAGGCTGTACCACTGAGCTACTTTGAGACAGGGTCTCAAAATATAAACTAAGTCACCAGACTGGACTCTTGTGATCCTCCTGCCTCAACCTCTGGAATAGCTGGGATTTCAGGCTTTTGCCACCTGCTGGCTACATAGTTCTTTCAGCAGAGTGAAACCCATGAGGGAAGTGCCTCCCCACTCCCTTCCACACACACCTCCTAGCTCCTCTGAGGACTTCTGCTACATGACCAGACTGACAATGGTGACCCTCAGCAATACCCTGCTGCTCACCTAAAGGTGAGGCATACCGTGGTAGGTGATTGCATGAATGTTCTGGGGACAGGGGCAGAGACACCCAGCTGGGTCAGAGGGGAGGAGCAAGGCCTGAAAAGTCCAATCTGAGATCCAGTCAGAGGAGTGCTGCTGGATAAGAAAGAGGAGAGGAGCTGGAGATATTTATCTGGTCCTGCCCACAGAAAGCCCAGGCCCAGAGGGCCCTGCTCCCTGCCTGGCAGTCAGGGTGCTGTCTTGTTCACGAGATCTTTGCCGCCTCACATCTGTCGCTGCAACCAGGCTATCTCCTAGGTGCCTGCCTCACATGCTCCATGCTTTTCACTCTAACCTCTGTGGGTGATAGCTGAACCCCAATACCAGCTGTTTTTGTTGCTGTGTCTCTAAGTCCTGCTACAATGTATGTTTCTGGAGGTGAGGCTCATTTCTCTAGGTCCTCTGCAGGACCTAATCAGGGCAGGTATAGAATTGGTGTACAATAACTGCAGCATCAGGTAACTACACCAGCTTAGGTCATACCCTCTTTGAGGGCCCAGACCTAAGCTTCCCTCAATGAGCTCTTCTCTCTTCTCTTCCGACTGAACATTTGCTGCTCTACCTTCAGGCCCTTGCTTTGATCCCTGAAACCTGGGCACTGACTCCTCATAGTTAGGCACAGAGATGGTCATACAATTGGCTGGTTTCTGGAAGATGTCCTTTTCCATCCTGCTCCATCCCACAAAGCACACATAAATGGATCTGGAGAAAAGCAGAGTTCATGGGAGGAATGGGCCTGTTCAACACCTAACCTTGCTCACTCCAGGGCTAACATACTATACACACAGCTTTCCCTGCTGTCCTATCCCTAACTTCTAACTCTGGTCTACAATCTTAGAGCCCTAAAGTCTTGGCCTGGAGGAGAGGCAAGGGTAAGCAAGGAAGATGTGGGTTCCCAGAGCCCTCACTTCCCTAAGACTCCTATCTCTTGAGTTCCCCCCAATCATTGGCTTTACCACCACCTACTTAGTTCCTGCTGTCCTCTATCCCAGCCTTCCCCAGCCCAAGCTAGTGACTGGGCCCCACACCCACCTTCGATGGGGGAGTTGATGAGAATGACACGGCCCATGGGTGATGAGGCTCGGATTCCACGGGGGGGCCCATTCAGCAGTCGCTGCTGCTTCCGCAACAGGTATCGTGTTGCGGTGGAGCCGAAGTCGCTGCCCAGGTGGCCTCGGGAGGAGAGGGAGCTCAGAGAGCTAGAGCTGACTTCTCCTAGACCCGGTGGGTCGAAGCCCACTGTGAAGCCATGTGCCATGGTGGCTGGACTGGAGTGGCACCCTATAGGTCCAGAAGGAATCTGCCAACCCTCCAGAGGCCAGCTCCCAGTGCTCTGAGTTCCATGAGCCTTCCGTGCAGGGTGAGGTCTCAGACAAGTGGAACCCCTCACTTCTCAGATGTGTAGGCTCCAGACCTGGACAGGGAGAGCATAGGTTGGGTGAGAGGGTGTGAACATTGCCCTACTGTCCCCAGAACTGCCACTTCTCCCCCTGGTTTGAGCATCCTGCTCTCCCATATCTTAGACCCTCAGCCCCCCACCTCTCCCACCCTGGGCCAGGGGTTGACCAGGGCCAGTCACCATTTTGGACCTTTGGAGCCATTTATATAAAAGGTGTATGGGGAGCTCTCCTCATTTCTGCTCTCAGCTGAGTCATTTACCCCATCCCCAGTCCTCAGTAGAGGTTGAGAGAGTGGATATGGGATTATTGCAGCCCCTGGCCTTCCAGCAATGTGGGAAAAATGAAGGGTCAGGACAATTCATTGCCATACCTCTTCTGTGTATGCGGATAGGGGCCAACCTTCAGCGTAGGACTTCAGGACCTGGGACAGCTGCGGCCCAGGCCCAAGAAATCCCCTGGCCGCAGGCATCTGCTCAGGGTTCAAAACTGCTGCGTGACTCCTTCCCACGCTTGGGCGGAGAATCTGCCAGTCAGAGCCTCACAATACCCAGCGAAAAACCCAGGGCCAAGTCTCCCAGAGCAGATCTGGTACCCAGAACACAACCCCTACTCCAGGCCTGGCCCTCCTGGGCCCCATTTCTCTGGCTTGGCCCCCTCACCTGCTCCGGTGTGTGATCGCGGCGGGTTTTGTGCACCCTCAGGTGCCAGCCAGTGCAGCAGCCAGCGACCCCGCCCATGCCCGGCGGGCTGCGGAAATAGGGCTGGTCTGTGAAGCTCTGGGCTCCCATTGGCTAGTAGGGCCACCAGTTACTCCCTCCCAGCACCTCCCTTGGTCGCCGGGGGTCTGCCGCTGGTCACCTGGTCCTGGGGCCACAGGGCTCTGCCCCAACCCGTTACGCAAACCTAGGGCTTGGCTCTCGGCTCGCCCCATCCCTCTGGAACCTTGTCTTCTCCGGGMCACGCTATCCCGGGCTCTTGGAAATGCCACCCCTTCGTGGTCACTCCTGAGGCCTCCATGGGGGGGGGGGGATTCACCAGGAAAGAGCAGGGTGTGAGCCCGCGATGAGCTTCAGCGCCGGGTGGCGCCTGGGCATTTACAGGTGTGCTGTGTGGTGACTGGGTAAACTGTGTGTGTGTGTGTGTGTGTGTGTGTGTGTGTGCGCGCGCGCGCGCGCGTGTATGAGGGCTGCCTTTGTCACCTGCCTCCTTCTATGTCAGAAGGTGTCTGCCAGGCCACCCTGTTCTGGAAAGGTCGCAGGGCAGGGCAATTGTCCCAGAACACTAGGGGAAGGAATAATACTTCTGATGTTTTTCCTCAGATGCAGATGGAGGTTAGCCTTCCGGCCATTCACATCTGGGGCTAAGATCAGTGGTGCAGGGCTGAGGGTTGGAGGTATAAAGATACTGGGGAAACAGTGGAGTAAGGAGTCAGATAGGGAGAGCCTAAGAGGGCGGCACGACAGGAACTCTGCTGCGAAGGGATGCTGAATACTGAGGTGCTGAGAGAGGAGCTAATGGGTACCTGGGTAGGAGCCCAGGGGACCCAGCAAGCAGAGGCCATCACAGACCGCCCTCAAGTAAACAATCAGTAACCTGAGTCCCTCCGGGCGGGCTCTGCATCAGAGGACCGCCCCTTCACACCACGCACCTGCGCCAAGTGCACCTATACCCCTGCGGCAGGGACAGGGTGCCTCTGGAGGCCCGCCAGGGCATTGCAAGAGAAGCGAAGCGGGCAGTGTGCGGCTCCTCCCTTCCTTTCTCTGGATGGGGAGTGGGGCCAGAACAGATCTCTGCGGTAAGACTCGTTCTGGGAGGCCTCACGGGACCTAGTCCTGGCGGCCCGGGCTGGGGGCGTATCCCCAAATGACATCTACCGCCCCCAGGGCCTTCCAGGTTTGGGGCTGGCTAAGCGAACAAGCCAGAGGGAGCCACCTTCCCTCCCTGCTGCTCAGCGTCATGCGTGACGTCTGGCTTGATGACTGGGAGGGCCACAGTCGCACGGAAAGGAAGGCGGGTCTGAGATCTGCAGAGGCAGGCAATCCCGGAAAGCGTGAGTGCTCCCTGTCCAGGCAGGGAATGGGAGTTAGGGGAGTGGAGGGTAGGGGRTGGGGGTTGGAGAAGGATGCCTGCCTTGAAACGTGCTCTTTATCCTGGGGATTCAGTATCTCGGCCTCTGTGGAGGTCTATGTTGCACAAGGGGAGGCTGGCGGGGGGTGGAGGTGTGTGTGGGAGTGTCATTTAGCATCTGCAACTGATGGATGTGAGCTCTCGGTATGTGTAACGGTCTTTATGGTTGGTGTATTGTGTTCACCCTGTTTGTATGTCTGGGTCGGGCTTGCATGTCTTTGTGTGTGGGTATGTGAGAGTGAGAGAGAGTTGGGTGTGCCTGCCTTAGGGAGGAAGTTGGGTTGGAGGGGATTAGTCATTCTGCAGGATTTTGCCTAGCACTGCCAGATGGCTGCTCCCGGCTTTCTTCTCTGCTGGGTAGCCGGGTATCCACTGAATCCTGCTCTTTCTGGAGGTAGATGGTTCAGAGAGAAGCAGATGGGTGTCTATGGCAGTCCTGCCTTGCCAGGGAACAGGAAGAGCTTTGGGTCACCCAGTGTGGCTTGGGGAAAATGGGTTTGAACAGAGGACATGTGCATGCCCACATGAATGCATATGGCTTACAGAGTGTCCTGTTTGAGATCTGGGATAAGCCCAAAGAGCTCTGGTTGTCCTCCAATCAGGGGCTGGAACATGGGATGTCTTTTGCCATCTTCTCAAATAGGCAAGGGGGTTTATATCTACGTATCAGAGCAGCTGGGGCCTGAAGCTGACATGGGCATGGTTGTRTCATGCACATATTACACCTTTTTGTGCAAGCAGAGCTCATAAGTAGCTGCACAGGATTAGTTGTTGCCCATGCATCAACCACACACATGTAAATCTTTATTCATGAAAATCTGCACCAGGCCAGAGCCCAGGGTAACCTATTTTCTAGTTCTTCTCTTCCCCTCCCCCTCTTCCAGTGCTTGTAGGTCCTTGGCTAGGACATTGCCTAGGAAACAACTCCTCCTCTACCATTGCTTACCTATCTGGAGTCACCTTGAGCTCTTGAAGAGACAGGTGATAGGCTCAGAAACTAGGGCAGGGCCATCAAAGCTTCCCCCAGGTGAAGCTGTTGGACTCCCTCCTTGAAGCCCTCTGACCCTTGTCCCTGCCTTGCAGAAAATGGGTGAATTGCCCTTAGATATCAACATCCAAGAACCTCGCTGGGACCAGAGCACTTTCCTGGGCAGAGCCCGGCACTTCTTCACTGTTACTGATCCTCGAAATCTGCTGTTGTCTGGGGCTCAGCTGGAAGCTTCTCGGAACATTGTGCAAAACTACAGGTGACCCTCATCTGACACTGTGTCTTAGGGTGTCATTCACTGTCATTAATCTAGTACATTTTGTACCTGCCTTCCTAAACTTACAAGTCCCGTTCCACAACCCCCTTATTCCCTGACCCCATTTGCTGGCACCTCTCCATGGCACAGGGCTTTAATCTAAAGAACTTTTGGGTATTTGGGTTGAGGAAGTAACATTGATATTTATGAGTGGAAGGCTGCTCTATGTTTCACAAACCACCATAGGAACTTTTCCCACTGTTGGTCTACTGTTGGTCTACTCCTACCAAGGAGGTAGGAGGACATCCCTTTTGTCTTCAGAATCAAAAGTTCTTGTGATGCTTCCCACTTTTTTTTTTTTTTTGGTATTGGGGATTGAACTCAGGGGCACTCAATCACTGAGTCCCATCCCCAGTCCTATTTTGTATTTTATTTAGAGACAGGATCTCACTGAGTTGCTCAGCACCTCACTTTTGCTGAGGCTGGCTTTGAACACATGATCCTCCTTTCTCAGTTTCCCAAGCCACTGGAATTATAGGCGTGTGCCACTGTGCCTGGCCCAGCCATTTTTGACTTGTCAAACCACCATCAGGGTTGGGGATATTGCTCAGTTGGTAGAGTGCTTGCCTTGCATGCACACAGCCCTGGGTTCAATCCCCAGCATGCATACACACACACACACACACACACACACACACACACACACACCCCACCACTATCTATGACTTAGCAGAAAATGTGTGGCTAGAAGGGAAATTGAACTAGGAACCTCCACTTCTGGGACCCTTTGATTCTCCCAAAGAGTCAAGGAACTCTTTTATCCTGAGATGGGGGGCCAAAGTTCCTAGTCCTCTGCCCAGAGTTTTCTGAGCAGGGTAAACAGAACCTTAGAGGGCAGATTGTCCTCTTAGAACAATTTGGTTCCTTGTCAACTTCTGCAGGGCTGGGGTAGTGACCCCAGGGCTCACCGAGGACCAGCTGTGGAGGGCCAAGTATGTGTACGACTCTGCCTTCCATCCAGACACAGGGGAGAAGGTGGTCCTGATTGGCCGCATGTCCGCCCAGGTGCCCATGAACATGATGATCACTGGCTGCATGCTTACGTTCTACAGGCACGTCTTATCCCATGTCCCCTTCCTGAGTGATCCAAGCTAGAGTATAGCTAGGTGTCTCCTCTTTGGGCCAACTTGGGTACAGAATAGTGGGTGGGCAGGAGCTTGTATTAGAATCCCTCCCATTCCTCAGAACGCAGCCTTGGGGGTCCCTCACCCCAGAGTCAGTGGGTCTACTWGTATGAGGGGGGCATATAAGGGTTATCAGAGCAGGTTCTAGGGTCGTCAACTGGATTCTCCTGAGGGTTTGTGAGTAACCGTTGGGTTTTCACTATAGGGGTCCAAAGATGAGAGACACTGTAGAGGGAGAAATAAAACTGATTTTGTTCCCTCAGGAAAACCCCAACTGTGGTGTTCTGGCAGTGGGTGAACCAGTCCTTCAATGCAGTTGTTAACTATTCCAACCGCAGCGGCGATGCTCCCATCACTGTGCAGTGAGTGCCGGTCCCTAGGAAAAACTGTGGTGCCTTTTCCCAGCCCACACTCTGTGCTTTCCTTGTCACTCCTGATCCCTGTGGGCCCTGCAGGCAGTGGCTCAGCTCTCCTCCCAGCCTAGCCTTTCCTCACTCTCCCTGCCTGAGGGTGAGGCCCTCTTGTGTATGTTTTTGGGGACCTACTCCCATTTGAAGGGAGGGAGTAGGGTTTCCAGGCAAGTTTACACTGGAGCTGGGGGGAGGGCTTTCTCTGCAATGAGACTACCCTCCTAGCCTCACGCACTGAGGATCTGGCATCTTCCTAAAGGTAAGAGCCACATGCTGGACTCTTCCTCTGTCCCTTGTCAACTGGTTCTTTAATCCACAGGCAGCTGGGAACAGCCTATGTGAGTGCCACCACTGGGGCTGTGGCCACAGCTCTGGGACTCAAATCCCTCACCAAGGTAAAGGCTCTCCCTCCATTGACCCTCCATTCATCCTTTACCCTCCTTCTTCTTCCCCATTACCATTAGATCCCATTACCTGTAGATCCATTCCTGATCGACAGGCTCCCATCTCTCCCCCAAGAGTCCCTTCCCACTCCATGGGCCACTAAAAGACGCCTTTCCTCCCCCAGCACCTACCTCCTTTGGTTGGCAGATTTGTGCCCTTTGCAGCTGTGGCTGCTGCCAACTGTATCAACATCCCCTTGATGAGGCAAAGGTGAGTAGACCTAACTCCCGTCACGTGCATGCCCAGTGTGCTTGTGATGTACCACGCAGTGTGCAGACCAGCCCAGCATGGGGACAATCCTCTCTCCTTCACTGGACATGAGCTGCTGGGCCCTACCTCAGACTGACCCTGTGTTCCAGAACAACCCAGTCCCAGTGTAGGAGAACTGGTCCCAAACTGCTGAGGACTGAGGAAGGAGGCAGGCAAATCCAGGATTATACAGAGTGCAATTTATTGGGTACTTACTGACAGAAGCACTGTCCCAGGCAGCAGCAAGATTAGGGTTTCCCATGATTTGGATCAGGAGGAGGCATATATAATAGGATGAAAGTGATTTACTTCAAGCCAAAATATACCTGATTTATCTTAAGCCATCAGCAAGGACATCAACAAGATTCTGGCACTGGCAGCAACAGGGTCCAGATAGTAAACCTCTACATACTACTCTATGGTTTTGTTTGTTTATAGTATTCTGAGAAACTGTGGGGAAAATCAATCAGAGTTATTCAGTGGTAATCATGGTGGTTATGATTCAAGATGGCTACATTCATGCTGAGCTGAATCCCTATACCCTGGGATCCTTGGGTAGGAGAACCAGCCTTTTTCTCTTTCTCTGAGACAGTGTCTTTCTAAGTTGCACAGGCTGGCTTCAAACTCGTGATCCTCCTGCCTCAGCTTGCCAAGTTGCTGGGATTATAGGCATATAATATTGTACCCAGCAGGGAACCAGCCTTTAAGACTAGAATATGTGAGGGACTCTAGGGAGTAGCTTCCCATTCAGGTGAGACTTGGGCCCTGAATCTGACTGAAGCCACTTCTCTTCCTAGGGAGCTGCAGGTGGGCATTCCTGTGACTGATGAGGCAGGTCAGAGGCTTGGCCACTCCGTGACTGCAGCCAAGCAGGGCATTTTCCAGGTGGTGGTATCAAGAATCTGCATGGCGATTCCTGCCATGGGTGAGATAGGGGTGGCTGGGTGGGGCATGGGAAGCTCTGATAGAAGGCAGGGGCTGAGGTTCTCAGGGGGCTTTTGGAACTCAGGGGCAATAAGACTCTGGGGAGAATGAGGAGCTGTGAATAGGATCTCCTTCCTTAGGGTTCCCAACTTTTACTGACTAACTCCCTCTCTCCCTACCCTGCTTCCCCTCAGCCATTCCCCCAGTGATCATGAACACTCTGGAGAAGAAAGACTTCCTGAAGGTAGGTGGCTTACTCCTCCCATTCTGGAAGTGGTGGTTCTGGGAGAAGTGACCAGTTCCCTCTCTCCAGGCTTGCCTGAGACTAAGATTTGCCACCATTTCTCCTGGCTCTGAACCTTCATCCATTCAGCAAGAATGAACTGGGCTGTAGTGAAGGAAAATTGAGGAAGCAGAAGGAGACTGGGGAAGGAAGGAAATCGTTTCTCTACTTAGGGAAACTGGTGTCATTCTGGAGGCATCCCTGTTACAGACCCGGATGGACTATGTGTGACATGACTCAATCAAGCTTGAAAGAGTCATGTTGTTACCCACTATGTCACCAACACTGTCTCTCTCTCTCTCTCACACACACACACATACATACACATACACACACACACACACACACGACAGGGAAGCAAAGCACAGGAATATAAAATATGCCTCCTTCCTTGAATTGTTTATTCACATATATTCATTGAGTACATTTAGAGCTATGAAGCTGGCATGGATCAAGATGGTCATAATCCCTGTCCTCATGAAGTTTATAGTCTAGTGCAGAAACCAATAAACAAAGAAGCAACCAATAACTATATTATTATAAATTCTGATATGTGCTTTGTAGGAAATGTCAGAGAAGGGGTCTCTACAGACTCAAAGAATGAGAAGGAGACAACCATGCAAAGAGCTCAGAGAAAGGTGTTTCATGTAGAGAAAAGAGCCAGAGCAAAGGCTCTGAAGCAGGAACATGATTGCACATTTGAGGAACAGAACGGTGGGCTCTGTGGCTAAGTGAGTGAAGGAGTGTGTGCCGAGCAGATGTTTGGGGGAAGGGAGAGATTCATACCACTGGGATCAGAGGAAGTGAGTGGAGGTTCAGAGGAGGCTTTCTGATAGCAGCTCCTGGAGGAAGGGAGGAAAGAACAAATGTATGAAGTAAAGGCAACTCCCAGACATTCAGCTGGTATGTATCTTGGGCACACATAGGGTATACTGTGTGTTAGGGGGTGGAACCTGTTCTGAAGATCAAGTGGTTGAGGGATTCCATGAGAATTGGTTCTAAGAGATGAGAATGTGTAAGGGGATGGCAGGAAACGGGACTGGCTGGAAAGGTTGCCAGCTGGAGGCCCCAGTCCTGTCATGGGCTTGGAAGAAAGAAAAGGGGCATGTGTCCACAGGTTCAAAGGCAGAGCTGATGAGATAGAGCCTTGCGGGGTAAAATGGGATGGGGGTTAGGGAGTAAGGGATATAAGCCATTCCATTGTTTGTCTCCCACAGCACCGCCCCTGGCTGGGGGCACCCCTGCAGGTGGGACTGGTGGGTTTCTGGTAAGTGTGCAAGGAGTTAGCTGAGGGCACATGGGAGTGCCTTTCACTTGTGGATGTGGGTAGGTATTTATTGCCTTTAAGACATTTACATACATCATCCATTCTGGTGTCGGTCCTGGACACCTGCTGGGCATACTGTGTGTGTTAGGGGATGGCCCCTGTCCTTGAAGGTCGAGTTCAGTTGAAGGGTTCATCTTTATCCACCAGGGGAAAACCATGGAAATATACTCTCTGGTACCACCCAGGAGGGATTCCATGAGAATTGGTTCTAAGAGATGAGAATGACCATTTAATTTCTGATCTGCCACTTTTCAGCCTCAGGGCTTTGAATCAGTGCTTAGGAGTCTCTTTACCCAGCCAGAACCTAATGTCAGGACTGGGTTTAATGTTTCTAAAAGATTCTTTGGCCTTTAATCAATATCTACTCTGTGGGCTGGAGGTGTAGTTCAGTGGTTGAGGGCCAGCTTAGCAAGCATAAGACCCTGGATTTGATCCCCAATATTGAAAAAAAAATCAATCTCCACCTCTAGGGGTATAGTATCTCCATAGGGTAGGGTGCAGGAAGGGAGCACTATGAGACCAAAGTTTCACAAACCTTTCTACCGCTCTTCTCTCCTAGCCTGATATTTGCCACTCCCCTGTGCTGTGCCCTGTTCCCCCAAAGAAGGTAAGTGGTGCCCACTGGCCTTGGCTGGGAACTCTGAACAGGTCCCCATATCTCTGTGTGTGTTAGGGGATGGCCCCTGTCCTTGAAGGTCGAGTTCACAGCACCGCCTGGGTCTCCCTGGAACACACCTGGGGCTCTGTGGTGTGTTCTAAGGAGGCCTGGCAAACATTCAATTGATTTGGGGGGTGGGGTAATGACAGTGAGCCAGCTCTTCTGGAAGCAAAAGAGGAGGGAGGAGGATGGGATGGTGGGAGGAGGGATGGTGATCCTGGGCCTGAGGGTCTGGGTCCTGTGTTGTTCTGTTGCAGCTCTATACAAGTAAACAGGCTGGAGCCGGAGCTGAGAGCTCAGATCCAGAAGCAAAACCCAGGCACCGAGGTGGTTTACTACAACAAGGGGCTTTGAGGAGGGTCAGCCTTTGTCCCCTACCTCACTTCCCTGAGCTGCTGTTTTAGTGCCTCCCTTCCCTTCTATGCCACTGCCCATCAGCCTGGTACTGGGCAGGGGGTGTGGTAGGGGAGCAGTCACTGAGAGCAACAATCCATTAAGCTGGGGGAAGTGCCCTCAAAAAGTCTTTTCTTTCCTCTGATTTCAAAGAGCAGGGTCACATCACCCCTCCCTTCTGTGCTTGTGTGTCTGCACACATACAAACATGATACACATATATGTTGATACATTTGGTCCTGGAAGCTAAGAGCAGACATGCTGCCTTGGGATATTCTGATATCTGGCTTCCCTCCTCAGCCTCTTGTCTACCTACCAGCAAGCCAGGTTACAGGTGAGACTTTCTTCCTTCCCTAAATTGTTCCATGGGTCAAGTCATTTCTGACAGGACCTCACCCTTTCTGGACACAGGAGGAGCCCTGGGATCTCAGGACAGAAACTGAGGGACACTAGCAGGCCAACTGGGATGAATACTTCAGATTTCTGGCACCCAACTGCTATAGCTAGCTTAAGACCTGCACCAGCCAAGGAAGCCATGTCTGAAGCCAGGAGTCAGGGGCTTATGTGTCCCTTGGTACTATACCCAACCTCTTGGAATAGCTCCATTTCTTCTCCTTTTCTCTACCAGAACAAAGGAGTGTCAGTGTCCTGTATTGCCCTTTTCTCTCCTATGTAGGTATCTTTAGGCACAATTTGAGGATTTGTTGGTCTTCTCTAACATCATAATCTCAAAACACATATCTAACAATCCCAATCCTCCCCCAACCAGAAAACCACATGGACAGAGTGAGCATTCTTCTCCTTTAAGAGTCACTGTCATACTTGCTCACAAAGGGACATGTATGGGAATGGTGCTTCAACTCCACAGGCCCAAAGCTTATATTTAAAGACAGGGAATATTCTGATCCATTGACCTATAAGACATTCACAACCCCCACATTAGCTACTTCCTTCTTTTCTTTTGTGGTGCTGGGGCTCAAGCCCAGGGCCTCACACATGCTAAGCAAACGCTCTATTACTGAGCTACATCCTCAGCCCTTTCTTCTCTTTCTTGAGGCTTGGTCCTTCTCCTCCTTCCACCCTCACCTCCAAGAAGAAGGGCCCAGGTTCAATGTCTGGACCAAATGGAAGATGGGTTTGGGGATGAAATGGGTAGCAGTGAATCCAGAGAGTAGAGTTAAGCTAGGACTCCAATTCCCGTGACCTCTGGCTGAAGAGTGGGTGAGGTGGATAAAAGGGTCCAATGGGATTTTCTGAGATTACTTTCCCTCTCCCTCTAATCCATTGTACCCAGTGATAACAGCTATGATACCATGGTTAGTCAATAAACTGCAAATATGTCTACTTCTTGATTTTCACTTGATTACACGTTCTAAGTGTCCAGGAAGAATTGCCTGCCTGCAGCCTCCCCTTCTCTCCCCAAAGTCTGGGTCCCTACCTGTCTGTAGGGAGCCTCATCTCCCAGTAGAGGGCACTCTGAGCTTTGAAAAAAAAAATCAATCCTTTCAATAGCACCTTTATTTTCCCTCTGAATGTGGAGTCTTGCCTTCATTTTCCTCTTCACCAGCAGTGCTGATCACAAACCTACATATCAATTCAGACTCTGGGCTTCTTGGTTTCCTTCAAGCATCTGTATGGAATGGCGACCTGTGGTCCCTAAGGAGGCCTCTGGAGAGAAGGCCAAGGTCTGTCTATCTCCATCAGAGAAAAGCTATTAGGGAAACAATACCCCATCAATTCACCATGGAAATAGGCCTGGAAAGACCCCCTTGACAGTTACCCCTTTCTACTACCCTGGGGACCCTTCATACCCTCCCTACTCATGTAATATCTCTCTCTCTCTCTCTCTCTCTCCTGGAAAAATGATGCTGAAAGTTCACATTATGTATAGCCATTAAGAGCTACCATTTAACAGCTTATAGTTGCCACTCTTCTCCCAACTCTTAACTTTGGGAATAAATATAAGTGAGTCTATAATAAAATCTACTCCCCATTCCCTGCAGGGAGATAACTCTCACCTTCCCTTTTCATCTTAGGTGGTAGGGGAATATTTTTAGGACTGACTGGTCCTAGAGCAGATGGAAGTGAACCTTGGCCTTGGGTCACTTACAAATCCTGGGGTATTTTCTTGGAGGTGGGGTTGATACTAGCTCCTGTTCCCTGAGTCCTTCTGTGAGGTCCCAGGATCAATGATGCCAAGTACTTTTAAGGATTCTTGATCTTTACAACCATCCCTGCCAAGTGGACATGTTATGCCCATTCTTTCTTTATTTTCTTGCAGTACTGGGGATGGAACACAGGGTGTTCTACCAATGAGCTACATCTCCAGCCCTTTTTATTTTAAGATAATGTCTTGCTACATTGTAGAGGCTGGTTGGGACTTGCAATCCTCCTGCCTCAGCTTCCTGAGTAGCTGGGATTACAGGTATATGCCACCAAACCTGGTTTGTTATGCCCATTCTTAGCAAAAACACATGTTTAGAGATATTAAGAAAGTTGCCCATAGCAAACTGTTATTCATGCTGAGGTCTGTGACTCTGAAAACACTGTCCTGTATTTCTCACCTGCCAGCCAAACTTCAGGTCACTTTTCTGGTCCTTTTGACATTCCAGGGCACCTCCTTCCCGTCTTTTTACAGACCAGCAAAACTGACAGGTCCACAAGTGTACACAAATCTTTCACTAGCTCTGCTTCTTGATGATCATGTCCTGACGGGCTTTCCTCCACCACACCCTTCTGCCATTTTGTTCTGCCTCATTCTTGGACCCAGAGCAATGAAGTCAGCTGTCTATGAACTTAGACTTCTAAACTATGAGCCTTAAATCCAAAATAAAACTTTTCCTCCTCTAAAACAAACAAACTTTCACTAACATCACTAAGGAGTTTCCAAATTTTAAGAGTCTTTTTTTTTTTTTCTTCCCCTTAGGTGTTTCTGGGGACTGAAACCAGAACCTTGTGCATCCTGGGCAAGCAATCTACCACTGAGCCCTTTTTTAATCTTTAAATTTTGAGGCAGGGTCTTGCTAAGTTGCTCAGGCTGACCTTTAACTTGTGATTCTCCTGCCTCAGCCTCCTCAGTAGCTGGAATCACAGTATGAACCACCACACTGGGTCCAAACTTAAGGGTATTATATTCTGCATGTAAGCAAAAATTTCCTTTCTTGATTGAATATGGGATAACAGATGACCAGTTTCAATTCCATCCCATTCTGCCAATCAGACCATCACGTCCCACCAAGCCTGCTGGATCCCTGGGTCAACTCTGGAAGGCTCTTTGTATAGTTAAGCTTTGGCCTTAGGGAATTCCCTTGAAAAGTCTTGGACTTTACTGAAGAATTTTATGTAGGATAAACCCATTTGAGGAGTGAAGTGCAGGAATCTCTTACAAATCTGGTAAGAATGTTTTATAACAGAATTATCTGTGCTGTACAGGTAATGCTAAACTGCATCAGAGAGAAAATTAACAGGACACCAGTGGGTTGGTTAGGAAGGAGTGCTTTCCTGTTGTCTATCCTTCCCAGTTTCATACCAGTTTCTCAAATACAACAAAAGTTAGTGACAGGGCACTTCACAGGCTCTCAAGGGACAAATCCTAGCCAGATATACTCTCCAAATTGTTTCTATATACTTGGAATTTCCCTCAGAAATCAGCATTTGAGCAGAGACAGCAATTTTTCATTGGAAAGCTACTTTGTTCCAGTCTTAGTTGGGCCTCCCCTCTTCCAGTGATCAGACTTCGAGAATCTTCTCTGGGAAACAGGTGTCCTTGGCCTTCCCTCTCCAGTCTTTCTCCCTTAGTCTAGCTCTGCTTCAAAGCCTCTACCCTGCCTATTATTAAGTCCAGAAAGACCACAACCCTCCCTACCCATGTTCTAAGGGAAAATAATAGCTTGAGTCCCGGAGCCTTGGCCCAGCCTGGCCGTAGGGAGAGGGTCAAGTGAGCACATCCTTACTCTTTCCCTGATCACTGGGACTAACGAGACAGGCCGGCATCCTAAGGACAGGTGGTTAAGGCCAGCTTCAGCTCGGTCCTGTGGGGTTGTGCTAGTCAGACTTCAGCTTAGTCCGGTGCCCTACGTGTGGAACAAAGCCCCTTTCCCCACCAATTAAGTCGGCCAGCTTGGAGCTCCGCCCCCAGGGCAATTCAGTCTCGGTTAAGTCACGCCTCCTGGACGCAGACACGTCCGGACAAGGGCCCGCCTCCAGCTGTGGCTGCTGTCACTCAAAGCTAGGCTCAGTTCCGCTTCCTTTTCGTTTCCTGCGCAACCGCTTTATCCCCACTAGAGGCGAGTCCAGCTCACAATCCTGAGTCTGAGCCTGGAACTTGCGACTCGGGTCTGGTTCCCCGCTGACCTCAGTCCTGGACAGTTAAATCCGCCGAATTCTTCTTTCCTTTCCCGTATCAAAACCCACCATCTTCCCAGCGCTCGCCCTTTGACTTCCTGCCGTGACACCCGCGGGGTTTTCGAGGAGTCACGCGAGGCCTCTCCTGCCCAAACCCGGATTTTTTTTTCCCCGCCGCGTTCCAGGCTATTGGCTCTAACTCCCGCGCCAGCCTCTCGCTCCTCCTTCTCTTCACCTTTGCTCCCAGCAGTCAGGAAACGTCTACTGAATCCTGTTCACCGTGGCTCTGTGCCTGCACTGTGAAATGGGTCGCTGGGTGAACAGAGTAGCTGCCTTCTCACCTGTAGAGACGCAGCCGGTGCCTGGCGAGTATTGGGGCGCTTCTTCCAGTTCTTGTTCGTTAATATGCACGTTGCCATGATCTCTGGGCCTGATGTGGGGACGACCTTTTGCTATAAATTATGGAGAAATCTTGGCCTGGCCGGATCATTCTGTTCCTGGAGTGCCCCCTTCTCTTTTTCCTTTATTCACATCATTTTCCTCTTCGGGGGTCCTCTGAGCTCCAGTACCCACCCAGACTGCAGAGGACAGTGGCAGAACCGGCTCCAGGCGTGGGTGCTTCTAGCTTGTCTTCCAATCTTCTCAGACTAGCTAGATTTTGCACCTATTAAAACTACTGGGCAACATGGGAGGAACCGTTCCTACCTAGGTTGGCTACACACACAACCCTACCCACACCCAACACGTCCAGTAGAAAAATAACCCCCATACCTAACAGGCACGAGGAAGCTCCTTCAGAGTAAAGTGCTTGCCTGCGGAACAGAAGTTTACTATGTTGATCTATAATTAACCACCTATGTTATTTTCCTTCTGACTGAACCCCCCACCCCCCCAGTCACCAGCAAATCTTCACTCAATTGGCAATTGACAGGTTGTTTTTTTTTTCCCAGAAGGAGTAGTCCTGGTGTTTGTTTTGTGATGCTGGGAGTTGACCCAGGGCCTGGGGCATACTAAGCAAGCACTCTGCCACTGAGCTACACCCTCAGCCCTGTTTTGTTTTGTACTGGGAATTGAACCCAGGTGCTGCTTTACCATTGAGCTTCATCTCCAGCCCTTTTTTTTTTTTTTTTTTTTAAAATACATTCTTTTTTTTTTTTTTAGAATTTTAATATTTATTTATTTTTTCTTAGTTCTCTGCGGACACAACATCTTTGTTGGTATGTGGTGCTGAGGATCGAACCCGGGCCGCACGCATGCCAGGCGAGAGCGCTACGGCTTGAGCCATCTCCGCAGCCCCAGCCCTTTTTTTTTTTTTTTTTTTTTTTTTTTTTTTGAGACGGGGGTCTGGCTAAGTTGCAGAGACTGTCCTGGAACTTGCAATTCTCCTGCCTCAGCAGATTTGAGTTTTAAAGGTATTTTGTTGAAAGCAATAGAGAATTAATGTGGCTAGCATCAATAAATAGGGGGATATATTGAAAGGGATTGGTTATAACTCTCATAAGCAGAGATGGTGCTAACAACCTTGGAAAGATCAGGAAGCCAGGTAGCTCTGCTACCTCAGCAGCTGGAGTTTATGGGCACTGCCATTCAGATGACAGCTTCCACCAGCTCCTATCTAGTTCCAAAAATGAGTACAATTTAGATCAGTTGTCTACCTCTTGGTGGTGGCCAGAGATCAGGGTCAAGTTGAAAGGACATTGGACATCATTCCTTCAGGTTCACCTCTGAGGTTGGAACTGTTCCTAAAGAAGGGCAATACTTATGAGCTGGTTATCACCTTAATTGGCATTTACTACAATATATGTTATTATTGGTCCTATACAGATGTTTCTTTCCAGCTTAAATGAAAATCCCCTCCCCCAGAGAAGTCCCCATGTCTTGTTTTTGTTTTTTGTGGTACTAGGAATTGAACTTGGGGCCTCACTCATGCCAGGCAAGCATGCTACTATTGAGTTGTAGCCTCAGGCCTCACT